ACTTCATGTGTTTTGAAGGGGGGGGGGGAGTGCGTACAGGAAAAAAAGTGTGTACATGGCACCTGGACTTCGTTAGGGTTTTGGCCAGCGTCGGTATCCTGATGAGCCAACTGAGGCAATCCCGTGTTTTTGCCAATGCCTGCTTGAAAAACTGATCTCACCGGTTATGTGTTGTTTTGGTAAGAACATTAAGAACATTTTGGGGAGGGGTGCCGGTTTGTTGGTGGGACAGAACGCTTTTCATTTCGGGTCCAAGAGGGAGGTGGTGCGGAAAGCAGCACTGACAGAGCAGCTCTCTATTTGCCAAGAGCAGCACTTGAAATTAAGTGTACCTGTTACTTAAGAAAGGTAAGTGAAGTATGTGAAGAGTCTGGATCTTACCAGGTATCCTGAATTATCATCAGTACCCTTGCAAAAAAGGAGGGGGAGAGGAATATTATTCTGATTATTAAGAGGTAGCTCTGCATCAAAGCGGACTTGGGCCCTCCAGTGACCTTGCTGTGGAGGGGCTTCAGCAGCAAGTGGGCAGAGGCACTGCCCTGGTGACACAGACAAACTGGAGAGGGGAAAGAGATGAAAGGATGTGGGTTTGTTTAATCAGGCACTGACAAGCCTAAGGTAGGATTTAAATTTTTTGGATAGTGGTCCATTAATCAGTACAGGGAAGAGGAAGTCCATTTGCTTTTCAGTAGATAACAGGCTGGAGAGCAGCAAGCAGCACGTCAACTGGTGGCAGCAAAGCCCGTGAAGAGACGTGGCAGGAGCGGCCAGCTTCTATTGCGTTGGGCGAGTTACCAGCAGCAGACAGCACCGCTGCCATGCAGGCTGGGATCTAGGACTGCCGTGGGCCAAGGCTTTCAGTCCAGCATTCCAGCAGCTCCCCGTTGGTACCAGGATGGGAAATGGTGGGAGAGCCAGAAGCATGAGGACCCTGCCCCCCACCCCTCAGCCACAGACACCTGCATCCTGGGACCTTGGCTTGTCCCACATACGGAGTCTCAAAGTGAAAAATTTTGACAAGTAACGATCATCACTTTATTTTAGAAATGGACAGGATTGTGATGTGAACTGAAGAGACTACATAGGTAAAAACTAAAGCTGCAACAAGCTGAAAGTAGAAAAATATACTGTATGTAGATACAAAGGCTTGTTAAACTAGTTAGCGTTATAAAAATGTACCAAAAGTTGTTTAAATAAACATGCAGTGTGTTAGCATGCATTCAATTCATCCTTTGAACTCTAGCTAAGCACTAATTTCTGATGCAGAAAGCTTCCTATCCCTATCGGCAGGGGAGTCTGAGGAAGTACAACATCTTCCCCGACTGCTGCCGGTTCTTGGGAAACTTGGTTCACCTGAAGCAAGCCCTAACCACACCAGAGCTTGAAGCCAAATAAAAGTATGAAGTTCTGCATTCAGAAGAGAGGAAGTCGTCTGAAATCCCTTGCGTGCAAGACCTTTGATTGGAGGGTGCTCGATGAAATGTCACTGAGGCTCCACTTCCCCAACGCTGCCTGTTGAAACAACCTGCAGAGAAACCCTCGTGGGCTCCCACCTCTGCTTAGGTTGGTGGTGACTGTTGTGAGGGAAGCACAGGCATTGAAGATTTCTTTCTTTTGCCTGAATTATGTTTCTGTTTTTTTCATCTCACACCTGAAGTTAAGCAGTACCACAGCGGCCAGGTTGTGAAGACAGCAGAAAAAACACCCCACACTATACTGTTTCTTTTAAAAAAAACCCCAAACATGTAACATTGAGTTCCATTGAAATCTATTTCTCCAAGCACTTAAAAGCTGAGACAGAAGCAGCACTGCCAGTAGGAAGATATCTCAGGCAACAGAAAAGTACTTCTCTTTTTTTTTGGTCTGAGACTTTAGACCTTGTCTACATTGTTATTCCATCTTAAGAGACTGCAGATAGGGCATCAGTTTCTCATTTAATTTTAATAGGCTTCACTCCCACCTTAAACCAGTTTTGTCTTCAAACTTTGAAGCTAAACTGATTTTAGCTTAAAATCGACTGTATGCTTTTCTAGAAAGCGTAACTAGGTTTTGGCAGTGAAAGTACCATATTGATAATTTATTAAACAATGAGTCTGTAATGTGAAGTTTACTTAAGAGTGAAAATGTTCAGGCAATGAAGAGTTGAGTACAGCTGAAACAGGTTAAGACATTTTTAAAAAAATAACTGTACCATCCAGGTTTAAAAAGAGTAGCAGCTAAATGCCGCCAGTGTGAATTTATGAATCCATCTGGCAGATTATTATAATTTGTATGTATGGAGATGTCAACATCAGGCTTTAAAAGTCATCTAAGAAAGTTCTTTAAAGACACTGGTACTGTGTGCATTGCAGTTGCAGAACAGTTATTTCCTGCAAGATCCCACCTCATACGGAGGTGAAGTGCCTGTTTTCCCACCAGGAATGTCACCTGGTTTATCTGATTCTGATTGCAGCAGAACACACTGAATTCTCTTGTCTTGCATAATTTTGTGCTGGTGTGTTGTGGGAAGGCTATACCCTCACTGAAGGAAATAACTCCAGAGCATGAAGGTTTCTGATTCCTTATCCAGTCTTCCTACAGAAAATAAGCACCGCCCTATACCCGTAGATACAAGTAGCCTTAGGCTCTCCTTAAACTGTGCAAATTAAATATTAAGAAAGGGTCTCCATCAGCATAAATCTGGCTTCCGTTCTGCTCAATGCCACTCTTCAGAGGTCAAAGTCAGTCTGGGAAGCAGACCTGTCTTTCACTTGGCAAGCAAGGACAGCATCATGAAGACTGTGAAACAGCAACTCTCTTGTTACAATGTTATCAAAAAAATTCAGTCTTGTCAGCTCATTCATAACGGGGCCTACAAAATAAAAGCCAAACATGCCATCAGTGCATAAACTGAAGTACTAAGATGGAAGATAAATCTCAGGAAGAAGACGACAGCTTGTTCCCTTACTTGCTATTACTTAAAACATTTAAAATAGCCAGGTGGATCACATGCTACTTCTGCTCCAAATGGGTAATTCTCTTACCCAGACATATACAGAGGCCTATTCTTGGCAGAAGATGCTACAGAATTCTAAATATCAGAGACCTGGAACATTGCAGGCTTTTCTCCTTATTACAACAATTTCAAGATACACAGTTTGGTGTGGCATTTACAATTTGCCAGCTGGAATAAATGGGAGCAGGATCTGGTCCTCACAGAACACTATGTCAGTGCTCTACCTTCACTAAAGTGAAGGCTCCAATGCAGATGGGCTTGGTTTCCCTCAAATCCAGTTTTAATCCAGTTTTATGGAAAGTGAAGAAAATGCTAATATCTCCCATGAAGCTCACAAAACCCCTCCCCCCAATACCTCAACTCACCACTACAGCTGGCGATACAGACACAGACATCAACTTCTTTGTATTCTTTTATAACCTGCAACAGAGTTAAACAGAAGTTGAAGCGCAGGTATGTCATCGCACACATCGCAGTTCTGGAAGATGTAAGCCAATTACTGCGAAAGCTCCACAGTCCGCATTCCCCAGTAGTTAGCTGAAACTTACAGAGCTACAGAATTAAAACTGTGATTAGGTGAGATACGGGATTGGATTTGAGCCAGCATTTGTGCCTCATGCTGACAAGGTTCCCTACTAGGTATCTCACAAGTCTCCTATGTTTTTTTTCTGGGGGAAAAAGCCCTACTTACTGATTTTAATGTTTTTGCTCCAACTGAATCCACAAAGTTCACTGGGGTGAAATCCAGAATTAAAGAGTGGATGTTTGTTTTGGCCTCCACAAAATGTTTGCACTCATCAAGAGACATGTCTTGCACACCAGCATCCGCAGATGCAAATTTTCCATTTACAGTTAAGTCATCATTTGCTATCTCATGTTTTACACTTGCTTCCACGTCATTAGTCTAGGAGAGAAGACAGATGAAGTTTAATGACAGCCAATGCTT